CACACATTTATGTGAAGCCCTGCATCTCCCAAAATTTCCCCCCTTCGGCATCCAAACTGCTTATGTTCATCATCGGATCTAAGTAACGGGGAAATTCTGACACTGCTAAATCTCCCATCCATCATTTGTGCAGTGGCTCCTCCACTCACAGTTATTCAGCTCTCAAACTCGGGACACCGCAAGGTCAGCATTAGTTCACTAGTACTAGCACTCAGGAAGATGTTCGAACCTCGATGAAAACGAGATCCCAACGGTGAAAACTTTCATCTTGATGCTCCTCTTAAGTAGCTAATGTCCGATCTGCAATGGAGATTGACTTTGAGTAGAAAGTCCAATAATTTGCCAACATCTCCAAATGTCGCACGAAAATCGGTTTCTGCTCCACTTCACTGTTCGATTCTCAAAGGGCTATCCTGCTCTCCCGAGGACATTAGTTGCGACTATCTCTGTGTATGTGCATGCTTGCCTGTGCTTGTGTGTGTGTGCGTGTGTGTGTGTTGTCATGTCCTTTATGCACAACTCACGTAAAAGGCATTACAATGCCCGACTGTTTGATCACTCACACACGATTAATGATGACCTTGTAGGAGAATATTCAATCAGGGAGTCTCGGTGTCACCGCGTGTCAATCCTAGAGAGAAAATTAGATGTCCCAGCCAGGGTCTGATCTGTATGGACTTCTTACTTGATTTAGGCGTGTATTCCTCATCGCATGATTCACAGCTATGCATTGGTCTCCAATGAATGCAGTACTCGTTCAGGTTTAGATTCTTGGCATCCTGTTGCCTGACCAGTTGCAGCGCTTCATAGTGAGCACTGAGCAACCCGATCAGCAACTGCCCTCTCTCTTCCCTTGTGTCTCTCTCCTCTCTCTCCCTCCGTACTGAATTGCACAGCATCCGCCACGATTTTTCCCCACTGCACTTCAAGCTTTTTCTATTCTCGCCGCGAGAACAACTTTTCTGGTCCAAAATTAATTGAACCAGTTCGTACTTATGGCCAGGTTCATATACTTATTCTCTGATTAATCTAGCCCTCGTGCTCAGCGTCATTCAAGTATCAATAATAGTGGATCTACAACCTTATAGAAATAGGGGGGGTCGGTTGAGTGGGTTTCAAATCTAGATCCATCGACGAGATGGTGATCCTACCCATATGCTCCAAACTAGTGTTACATGCTGCGCTTGCAACAGGCTGCACGGGCCACTTTCAGGCCCGTGACGTTTTCAGACCAAAAGCCTGAAAACAAGGGCCTATAGGCCCCGTGTCGTTTCAGCTTGAAAGCCTGAAAACCAGGGCCTACAGGCCCTGTATCGTTTCAGCCTAAATCAGGACCTTTCCGACCCTGAGTCTTTTTAGCTTGAAACTGAGGGACATTTTTAGGCCCTCATGAGTTCGGCCTGCCCCGAAACTCAGGCACAAAACCAGGGTTTTAGCTCAGGCCATTTTTTGTCTATTTTCAAGACAACCTTCGTTTGAGCTTCAACTCCAGGGTCTGGCATGTTTTGGCATTGGCAAGAGCAGCTTCTTGGACAGGCCAGCACTATAAAGGATTGGCCCGCCCTGCAGACTGCAGGTAGTTCCTAAGTACTTCCCAGGCACTTCACGTGCAGTTCAGGAGGCAGGAGGTAGTCTTCAGGATTCGGCAGCAGTACTCTGGAGGAGCGCTGCAGTAGTAGTAGTAACGTTAGCAGTAGTCTTCAGCACTGCTCGCTAGTAGCGCTAGCTGTAGTCTTCAGCGTTGGGCGCCATTGCAGCTAAACGCCACCTTCACAGGTCAGTACTTCTTCTTCCTCTTCTCAGTCCACCATCTTCCTCTCACCCTCTCGTTAATTGACTTCACTGCATTAGCAGACTATGAGAGAGGGAGAGAGAGAGCTTGGTGACATTTGGATCCAGACTCGGCATTGGACTTCAGACATTTTGATGAGGGATTATTTGGGAGTCTTGGGACTTGTAACGAGACTTGGTGTTGACGACTTTCCCATCTCTCCTCTCCTCTTCTCCGTCTTATCCTCTCCTCTTCATCTGTGCATGAAATGGACCTGGCGCCTCTTCCTGTGTATAGCGCCAAGTTCCGTTCACACCGTGTCGTGAGAATGATGTATGTTTGGTCTGCGTTGTAACATTGATTGGGTTAGTCATTAGTATTCCAGTATTCTGCTGCGCTATCTTGTACTACGTGAAAGAGGTCAGTCCCGGTCAGGTCAGGACTTGTATCTAAGTCTTTCACTGCGCTGTAAAGCACCATTTTGTATGTATCAGAATGTACACTGGTTGTTGAGATTCACTTGCACAACATTGTCCATTCAGTCCTTTTCATCACATTGCGCATCCTTGGTTTTTATGTACATCGCCCAACGGGGCATGTAATACCAGGTTGCACGCTCCTCCGAGTTCGCATGTGCTATCTCCGTACTCTAGCCACAACCATCGAGTCCATCATGCTCTCTCTCCCTCTCCGTGTGTGTGTGTGATGCGGTGAGTACGCCCCCGAACATGTGTGATTCCCAGCGCATGTGGGCTCCCACTTTCTCTCACTAAATGAAAACGAAAACATGAGAGAAAATACGTGCCTAGAACGTGGCAAGACAAGCCGCTGTGGCTATGGAAGTCGCCTGGCGCTTGGTAGACGAGAGAAATGAGAACAACATCTCAAGTTTCAAGCTCGTGAGAACGCCTGTGAATCTGGCCCAAACTACAACCATATTTACGCTCAGTTTTCTCCATTCGATCTCAGCCTCAACTTTCTCTCTCTCTCTCTCTCTCTCTCTCTCTCTCTCTCTCTCTCTCTCTCTCACTCTCACTACGCACTCTCTCTCTCTCACACTACGCACTCTCTCTGTCTCTCACTGCACAATCTCTCTCTCTTTCTCTCTCTCTCTCTCTCTCTCTCTCTCTCTCGCGCGCGCGCGCGCGTTGCACAGTTTGTTTCTTTCTCTCACCGCGCTGTCTCTCTCTCTCTCTCTAGCGCACGTGCACGCCTTGATCCAGATCACGCACTCATCCCTCATCCCTCTGTCTCCTTTATTTGCTCTCTGACACTCGATAAATAAATCAAAATCAATAAATGTCATTTTCATAGAATCAGCGGAGTGATGGCGGGCAGCCTTCTCGCTGGATGCTTGAAAGTCAGACGTCTGTCCGTGATTGGGTGTCTGATCGTGTACCACTATCAAGGGATTACTGCTTTTAAAATACTTCAAAAATAAATAAATCCATAAATCACCCTTTTACTCAATCTCAAGAGCGGTGTAATGTAACCCTCGCTTCTGACACTTGCAAATCAGATGATTGTTCGTGATTGGAGCTTGACTGTACTCCAGTATCACGGGATTACTGACTTTCAATTATTTCAGAATAACTAGATAAATAAATAAGTCATTTCAGCCAATCAGCGGAGTAGTAGAGTGCAGCCCTCTTGCAGAGCGCTTGGAGCTCAGATGGTTGTCCATGATCGGGTGCCTCACTGCACTCAGAGCACTTGCACGAACGTGTATGATTACGGCCAACTCAAGATTGGTTGTTAAGGAATTAATGAAAGGTGCCACTACATGGGAAGAGGTCAAAGAGAGAATGAAAAAGGAATTTGAGAAGGACTCAGTTCCAACTACAACCTAGGATTTACTCAACATCAGGAGAGCTAAGTATGTCACTTTCAATTTTTTCTTCAGACCCTCATCCGAACAACAAGAAAAATCCCTTATTTGGACGAAACCCATAGATGCCATATATTTTTGACAAATTGTACTGATTGCATGGGTCCTGGGGACCAACTCACGCAGATGTGCATACATCAAACATCGTCTTCACACTCAATGGACACAGTTGCCACACACGAGACAAAGGTAGATGAGAATAGGACCAAGACCCGTCACTTATATTATCAAAAATTATGATTACAATGAGTTCACAGTTCCCTGAGTCAACGCGCTTCAGCGCAATACCAATCCCACATCAGATACATCAGTGCCACCTTCGTCACTTGCTTCTAGCTCAGGTAAGTGTCCTCCATAACCAGACCTTGAAAGAACACTCTCTCTGTCTCAGTCCCTTCCTCTCACGATGCATACACACTCTTCTCTCACGAGGATCTACTCTGAATGTCACTCATAGCTATCTACACTAACCCTGCTAAGTCTACACTAATCTGCTGGGCAGCGATGGCTGCTTCCCTCCAGCGCCCAGCCTTCTCTCCTCTTCCTTTAGCGCATCTCCTTTCTCCAGCGCTGCTCCTGCCTGACTAACGCACAAGTGCACCAGCACTTCCACGTATTGAATGCCAGAGGAGATCTGCCGTGGAATGAGGCTGGCTGCTCCTTAAGTAGTGCTGGCCTCTCCACGTTGGGTCTGCATTGGCTCAGTTCGGCCTGTCCTTTTGTCCCAGACCCTGCATTGCATGTGTCCCAGAGCACTCCCAATGAAAAGCAATTGCTGTTGAGGCCTCACGGCCCGAATCTGAATTTAGAAGTCTGGATCTGGACTGCCCCTACGACTCAGACCAGCCACTGGGACATAACTGTTGACTTCCTTTTGAAAGGTCACATCTTAGACGAACAGACACCAGCTTTGTACATACAGACACAGCCTTTCCTCTGTTCACGAACAGGCACAATGGCTACTCGTACAGACACACCTTATTCATGACCTACACAACTGCTGGCGAACAGGTAMGTCTTTTGACAATGCCCTTTGCTTCAGGATGTGCCCGTTGGTARAGAACTTGGACTCTTGACCTGCTTTTCACGTTTCTGAGCCCTGGCGAGATACCTTTTCAGGCTGCTTTACTTTTACATGGCCCACGTTGCTTAGTTACAAGGCCTGAGGCCTACATTGGGTGAAAAAGGCCCTTTCATGATACTGAAATGCAGGTCGTTCTCAATCAAGCTCAGCACTATCCTCTCAGATGGGATGAGATGGTTGCAATTGTAAGAACTCTACCTATAGTTTCTCATAAGAAACGGTCACTAGATCAGATTAGCACTTTGGCTAAAAGCTGGGGGACTGAAAATGGTATGAACAGAGGGAACAATGTGAATGCTGAGAATATTCTTTAGAAAGTGATGGCTAACTTTATGCCTGCGAGGTCTGCAACCCATGTTGTGGATGACAGAGGGAAGAAGAAAGTTGAAAGTGAAGAGGATGACGATGATGATGATGATGAAGGCTATGGTAAGAAGGGAGATTATTCCAGATCTAAAAAAAATGGAAAAAATGGTGACAAAGGAAACAGAGAAAGAAGGAAATATGAAGAGCGTCCAAAGAGGAGTTGTGTTTGCTATTATTATGGTGAAGGAGGTTACACTACCACCTATTGCAAACCTCTTGAGGAGGATGTAAGGAGTGGGGTGGCAAAGAAGGATGCAATGAGCCATGTTTGTGATAATTCATGGAATAAGTTGGACCCCAGGCATCCAGGAGGTATGAGACTTCTTGCTCTTAAACATGATGAAAGGATGAAGTCGAAGAAGAAGAGAAAGGTTAATGTGAATGTTCATTTTCCCTTTGAGGAGTTACCTAATGAACTAGTACAGAAAACAAGTGATCCTTATACCACGATTGAGCTGTCTCTGCAATCCTTAACATTGAAAGAGTGTGTGCCTAGCGAGGCTTCTACAAGTGAGCCTCCATTGGGAGGGAATTCTACTTCTTAGAATTCTTCTGAATTAGTAGAGTCCTTTTCCAATGGAATGGCTCGCTTCCTAGCTAACATGATGTCATTTCTTGGTGATTTACCCCCAAAACGCGTGATGGAACCTAGTGTCAGGCTTGGTGAAGTGAGAAACCTCCAAGCCCGCATGACGCCTCAAATGATAGAGGAAAAGAAAATGAGAAAGGCTGAGGAATCATTGATTAATATCCTTGATGATTCGAAACCGGAACTTTCACATAGAAACAATGAACAGGGGAGAAAGAGAAAATTTATTCTTAAGAGTGACTTGGATGATGGGACAATGATTTCTGATGTAATAACTAAGATGCTGGAAGAGACGGAAGTGACATTGTCCTTCAAGAAAGCAATGACTCTAGCACCCAAACTGAGAGAAAAGCTGAAAAAATTGATTGAGAAGAAAAAGTTGGAAGTTAAGTACTTGGGATCAGTCTTTCCTAACCAAGTGAACAAGTCACTATCAGGTTGCAAGATGAGATTTGCAACCATGGGATGTGGACATCTTACTATTCATATTAATCAAGTGAAGATTCTAGCCCTAGTGGACTCTAGGGCAGGGATGATACTCCTTTCACGAAGAACAATGGAAGCTTGTAACTTAACTATTGATAGATCGACACAAAATGTACTGTGAGTAATATTGCAGGAAAGTTGTTCGTGGCAGGATTTGTTGATAATCTGCCTATCAGAGTTGGAACAATGACTGTGGAGTTACTGAGTTTTGTAGTGTCGGATCTGGACTATGAGTGTATGTTGGGAACTCCATTCTTGCATAGAATGGAGGCGGTCCAATTTTTCAGTCATGAGGGGTCATCTTGGATTGGCCTATAGGATCCTGAGACTGCTAAGGAACAAACTTTTATGGTCTGCACAAAAAGTGATTTCAAGCATCAATTATCTGCTAATTCAATCAGAAGAGAAGAGTCTGCTGAAAGGGTTAGGAGACTAAAGGAAGAAGGAAAACAAGAAGCAAAAGAAGAGATTTCGGTAGGAATCAATCAAGTTTCCAAAATGATAAAAGCACTTTGTAAATTTGAAGATGAGGATGAGCAAATTGAACCTTCAAGAAGGTTGTAGGGACTGTTAAAGGTGGAAAGATGAAACTAAAATTTGCATCGACTCACCCTTTTTTAGGAAAATAACCACTGGGTCAAAAAGAAAATATAAGCCCAAGTGGGTAAAGAAAAACCCGGTGGCAGTCCTAATAGAAAAGGATTATGATGCAGCGTTGAAAAAGGAGAGAAAGATTATTAAAGCATTGAGAGAATCTGCAAAATTGGGCAATAGAGTCACCAGAGAGAGGTTTGAGACAATGAAGATAGGCTCGGATCAGTTTATCCTGCCTAAAGAGAAAGAATATATCTTCAAGATGTGTCAGGATTTCTCTGGTGCGTTTTCCTTTAATGATGAAGAGAGAGGGCGACTGGATGTGGATATGATCAAGATGGCCAAGATTTGGACAGTTGATCATGTTCCATGGAATGATAGGCTGACCAAGTATGCCCTGAAGGAAAAAGCAGAGGTTGTAAAATACCTTGACAAAAAGATTGCATCTAATGTTGCTGAACCTACTGATGGACCGTATGCTAACCACTGGTTTTGCTTTTGGAAACCAGGGGGTGGATTGAGATGGATTTAGAATCTCCGGAAGCTCAACTCTGTGACGGTACGTGACGCAGGTAGTCTTCCTAATGTTGATCTCTTTTCTGAATCTTTTGCTGGTCGATGCATTTATTCTCTAGTTGATTTGAATTATGGCTATGATCAGTTTCCCATTGATGCCACTAGTCGACCAATGACTGCCATGCACACGCCAAGGGGGCTTATTCAAATGTGTGTGGTACCTCAAGGTTGGACTAATGGTGTAGCAGTGGTTCAGAGGGATATGATCCAACTCATGCAAGATATTTCTCCTGAGATAACCAACCCCTACATTGATGACAATCCTGTGAAAGGACCCCTGGTAAGGGATGAGACTTTGGTCGCAGGTGGAGTCAGAAAGTTTGTCTGGGAACATGCTGAAGGAGTAAAAATGGTCCTGGAGAGACTTCAAAAGTATAACCTGACTGCCAGTGGACCCAAGTCCCTTCTCTTCCAGCCAGAAGTAATTATTTTAGGCTTCAAATGTTTCTCCAAGGATAGGAGTCCTGACCTCAAGAAGATAGACAAGATCTTAAACTGGCCTCTGCCTCTCAAGAGAGTGACAGATGTCGGGAGCTTCTTGGGTGTCTGCGAATTCTGGAGGATTTTTATTCCTCATTTTGCTACCCTTGCAGAGCCTCTGAGGGAAATGGTAAGGCAAGGGGCTAATCTAACCTGGAATGATAAAAAACAAGCCGTCGCAGAAACACTACAGGAAAAACAAAAAGATGGTGGTGTGGTGCTGGGAGTGTCATTTTATGATGATGAGGAGGCAAGACCCTTCATCATTGAGACTGATGGAGGACTTGTTGCTCTGGGCGGTGTGCTCATTCAGAAAGATGAAAATGGAAGAGAGAGGCCTCTAAGATTAGAGAGCAGAACTCTCAATTCTACAGAAAGAGGTTATACCCAATTCATAAAAGAGTTGTTGGCAATCATCTTTAGCTTCAGGTGCTTCAGGCACTACGTACTGGGAAGGAGATTCATCTTGAGGATTGATGCATCTACTGTGATTGGTGCCATCAAGAAGCACCAACAAGTAGATCCAACAGTCAGCAAATGGATCGCCTTGATCTGGACATATGATTTTAAGTTGGAAAAGATTCCCACTGAGAAGAACAAAGCAGATGGTCTAAGCCGGATTGAGTGGCGAAAAGAAGAAGAAGAAGATGTAAATGAAACGATTGAAAAATCTGCCTATGTTGATAATTTTCTGAATGAGAAAGATGATGAGGAATATAGAGTGCCAAACTCCTACAAATGGAGTTTGTGGCCTGAAGAAAGAGACTGCTGGGGAGAGATCCCTAATGCATATGTTTATGAGTCGATTCTTGGGAAAGAAGAAGAAGATGAGCCAAATGATTGGTATGCTAGAGTTAATGCAGCAACAGTGACTGCTCATGAAATTGGGGAAAGCTCTGGCTCAAAGGAAGAAGAAGAAAGTGAAAAGACAGAGGGAGAAATATTTTTTTTTCTCTGGAGAATATGATGAAAATTGTCAAGAGATTGGCAAGAAAATGGAAAAGGAGCAGTTAAAGAAGTATTATTGTAAGAATTCAAGGAAGAAATTCAGGCTAAAAAGGGTACATCTCTTTGTGGATGGTAATGGAGGCCTACCTCCACTAAGAGTGGTCTGTGGTAAAGAGAGACAGTTAGAGATAATTGCTGCTTTGCACGAGGGGGTTGCTGGTGGCCACAGGGCTGCTGAGGCAACCTACTCCAAAACTGTCAAACTCTACTTCTGGCCTGGCATGAGAAACATGATTTTCAGATACTGTAAATCATGTGTGTTATGTCAGAAGAGGTCTACCACAAGAATGATTGAACCTTTATTTCCCACTATTTTGGTAGAACCTGGAAGAAGAGTGCATTTAGATCTCATCACTGTGCCTTTAGGCAAGGGTGGGATGATATATATATTAAACATGAGAGAGAATTTATTTGGATACGTCGAGGCAAAAGCTCTGAAAAGGAAGACAACCGAGCAAGTGGCTGACTGGATAGAGGAAGTCTATCTCAAGTATCCTTTTATCAGAGAATTGGTCTCTGACAGAGGATCAGAATTTAGAAATGAGATTGTCAAAAGAACCACACTTAGGTTGGGTGTCAGAATTCGGTGTGTGACTACTTACCATCCTCAAGCGAATGCACTTGTTGAAAGAGGTCACAGAACTGTGAAAGATTCATTGGCCAAGTGGTATGAAGGGAACCTCAACAACTGGCCAAAGGTATTGAGATCTGTTGTATATGCTGATAACATCACAATCAAGAGAATTACTGGCTATGCACCATTCACTCTGTGGTACGACCGATATGCTACTTTACCTATTGAGAGCATTGTCAAGTCAAGAGAGTGACATAGACTATTCTATTTCAGAGCTCTTCCAGATCAGAATGAGGCAAATATCAGAAGTTGATCAGACAGTGATGGATGCTGCAGAGTGATGGATGCTGCAGAAAGAATGACATCCAACTGATTGTCAGATCAAGAGAGGTGGAACAAGAAAATATATATAAGAAAAGAGAAACTGAAAATTGAAGATGTTGTCCTTCTGTTTGACAGTTCCCTTGAAACACAATGAACTAAAAGGTTAGAGCCCAGATGGCTTGGTCCTTACAGAATCACAGGGGAGGCAGAGGGCAAAGTTTATGAGATTTCAGAGATGGATGAATCCAGGGTTCACGACATGGCATCAGGGTCAAGACTTCGTAAGTTTATCTTCAAAGATTCTGATTTGATCCCTACAGTGACTTCAAAGAAAGGGAAGAGAAGTCAACCATCCAAGTGAGAGAAGTCATAAAGGACTGAGAGAAAAGGTACGGTGAGGCACTGAGACAACGAGATTCATTTTTAACAAAC